TTAAATTAAAATGTGTTATTTTTGTCGATAAATAAGAAATATTTTATTGGTGATTTCATATTCGAAGTTAAGATGATGGGGGGGGGGGAATTTTAGAATAAATATTTGTTACTGTGTAACAAATCATGTGATGCATAAAAAATAAAGAACTTTGGCATATTTTAAGCTAAGTTTCTGAAAGAATTATGTAAAATGTTTAATATATAGAAACTTAAATTAATGGACATTTTAATAAATATTTGTTACTGTGTAACAAATCATGTGATGCATAAAAAATAAAGAAATTTGGCATATTTTAAGCTAAGTTTCTGAAAGAATTATGTAAAATGTTTAATATATAGAAACTTAAATTAATGGACATTTTAATTACCTTTAGTGAAGTACAAGCGTAGGTGCTTCATTCTAACTATTTGAAAAGAAAAGTGATTAGTGCATGTTCCAGACAAACCTTTACAATAATAACAAGTTTGGGATTAGAATTTTAGTACAATTACTTTTTAACTCAAAATGAAAATTAAGAAGCAGGTACGTAATGCATGGTTGACACCCGGGGGAAGGGATCATGTGCATACACTTCTGTTAGTTTACATGAAAAAATATTTTGTTGGTAGTTTTAAATATGAATTAAGATTGTCAGGGAAGAGTTTAAAATAGCTCTGTTATTGTGTAATAAATCATGTGATGCATTAAAAGACAAAAAAAAGTAATTAAAAATGAAAAAAATATTTATTAGCTGTACTTGTATAAAATTAGGTAAAAAACACTTCAAAATTACCTTATATTAATAAATTCATATTAAAAAACACTAAAATAACTTACTTTTTAAAACAATAATAATACTATTTTTGTATTTTTTCATGATATTTTATTAAAATGATATAATTTTAAAGTATTTTTCAACCTAATTTTTTACTGTCCAGCAAAAAAACACTAATCTCATTTTAAAATATGTTGTTAATTAATTAGCTGACATACTAATGTCTAAATTTTTGTGTATTTAAAGTTAATTAGCTATTATACTTAAAAGAACTAGTCTTTGTAGCTTGGGCGAAACATGCAAATTAGCCCTTGAACATGTCAAGAGATGATAAAAAAAATCCCCTCAATTGAAATCAATAGCAAATGACCCCTTAAACTCATGAACAATGACAAATCAATCATTATTCAACGGCCATGTCAATAGTCCATTAAAAACTAATAGATCTCTAGTTTGAATGGATTCCATAACTTACCTGGACGCAACGTGGTCCACTGAAGACTGACATGGCCTCTCATATTATTAAATCATTAATATTTTAGAATTTTCTTAAATATTCGATTAAGATTTAATTGCTATAATTTTTTTCATACATTAAAATTCAATTACTTACAATGAAAATCAATTGGATTAATTAAATCTTGATTGTTACTTTGCCAAGTAAACAAGGATTGAAAATTCTAAGTATTATAGAATGATTTCACAACTAAATAACATTTCTTTTTATTCATAACAATTATCTCAATTTAAAAATTTCGAAGAACTAATTGTGAATTTGAAATTTAGAAAATATCACCTCTGGGGAGATGCTTTATGAGGTTATCTTTGAGGAGGGGATTTTCCAGTTTGACTACTCTGTAGACTATAGAAATGTAGCATTTCCTAGTTTATCATTTACAAAAAACAAGCTAAGGGACACACCAATCATGATTTAAATGCTTGTTGGAAGGCAGATTGTCAAACTTGAGGTTGGTTAATCGATTAATAGTTACCTATATTTGTAACAGTTTTGTTCATTGATTAAGATGGTGGAGTTTGCTAAGCATGATGGTCAACGTGGGTCCATATTGGTGAGAGATATCTGCTTTGTTTTTAATCAAAACAATTCAAGTGAAAACTGATTACTGAACTAAGGACTCTTCAAGTTAAAATTCACTTTTTGTGGGTTTCGAGGTGTTACAAAAACCCAATCACAATCAAAATAAAGTCATCAAACTCAATTACAATTAAAATAGAGTCCTTTAACTTACAAATACAAAATTTACATCAAATGATATGAAATTCACATTACCATTGGTCATTATTGATTAGTATATATAATAACTAACTACTCTGATACTAACTAAAACTATCTAGATTGAAATTTAAC